AATTCCCACTTGCACCACAGAACTTGACTGGTGCTCCCTTCTCCATACATGCTCTCTTTCTTGATGAATCCTCAGTTCCTTCCCTTACACTCAGCTAGTCAGTTTCAAAAACACGGGGAGAAGGTTCCTAAGTACCAAAGCAGCCCAGAGCTGCCTGCCTGACACGTCTTCATGCCCAGGGGATCAGCCCTGCTTGGGAAAGGGCTACAGGATGTGCCCCCGAGGGACTGGGAGGCTCACAGTGACATCCATGCTCTGAGAATAACTACTAGATGAAGCACTCTGAGAATGTGAGCTGGGGGATGTATCCATTATGCCCCAGTGAGATGATGCTGACAACTTCTTATACATGAATTAAGTCCAGACAAGTTCAAGATTGAGAAAAACTCTGTGTATTTAGAGATCTTTAAACCCAAAAGCTGTGGACCTGAGAAGGCTAGGTGCATCCACAGCAAGATGGAATAGAGATTTTCAGGAATCTGGATTCAGGTACCTCCACTCCACTAATATCCTTCTTTAGTCCCAAGTCTTCTAAGGAAACCAAACCATCAAAATCCTCCTGTAGCTCTTTGTACTTCACACTGACACACACAACTTCGTGGAATGGAAGAACCTTGGGGCTGTGGAGAACAATTTTGGCCACAGACACCAAGTCTTTCCTTTACTGTTTGAAGAACCATTGTATCTGCTCAGAGCAGGAGACATGCTAGTTTTTTTAGCTCTCATCTTCAAGTAAACCTCCAGCCTGGGAATGCTTGCCCAGGGGAAGTCTCTTCAGTTCTTGAGGTCTTTAAGCAAGATTTCTGCCAGATGGGTCTTACAGATCAGCAGGCACTGCCTTCAGGACAGGTTACTGAGCAAAGCACAACCCTCTGCTGCACCAGGACAGTCACACAACAGTTCCTTTTGATGTAAAGCCCACAGATTTGCAGTCTGTGAGTAACACCCACCCTTCCAGGATGAGGCACTGATTTCTAGCTGTGATCTGCAGCCTGGAAATGCTGAATTCCTGGCCTGTCTCCTCTGTGAGGTTTGATCTTGAGTCTGAACTGCCTGTAGTGAAATCAATCACAAACCATTTCACAGGGTTTGAGGCTTAAGGGTAAGAAAATGCAACAGTGAATGACAGGGGTAGTTCTCAGGAAGCGACAGTAATTTTTCTTACTATTTAGCTGCCTTCTGAGTGAAGTGATTTATGACAGGTTCTTTAAAATAACTGGTTTCTTTGTATACCAAGGGCTCAATTCCAAGTGCTTTCTCTGGTGGCTTGCTGACCCAAGGGTGCAATTTGCGTTGTTTCTGTAGCTCTCTGGATAGCAATCTCTTTGGGGACCTCTTGTGGACTCTCTTCTAAATTGCGTGCTCCGGAAAATGTATTTGTAGACACGTCAGAGCCCTTTCCTTCAATATAACACTCATGTGCATTCGCAGAAGTTTGACAGCAAAGATCAACAGCAAACACAAGAAAGTAAGTGCATTTTAAAAGGGGGAATTTTACCCCCGAGTGGTGCTTATTTATTCTTTAGCTTCTTTACAGAGACTGCAATAAATACACACCCTGCAAAGGAGTTCCTTCTAAGGTGGGGCAGGGAAAGGAGCTTGCTTAGGCTAATGTGGCTAATACAGACCTCTGAGCACAAAGAATGAGAAATAGTCCCTTTTCCTCCTCTGCCATTGTTTCTATCCTTTCTTATCACCCCTGTGAGGATCCTAACCCCATCTCCTCAATCCCTTCCCTCCTCCACAGCCTCATCCCTCCTCACACTGACACCCAGAGTGAGCAGCCTGAGCCCACTACTATTTAGCTGCCTTCTGAGTGAAGTGATTTATGACAGGTTCTTTAAAATAACTGGTTTCTTTGTATACCAAGGGCTCAATTCCAAGTGCTTTCTCTGGTGGCTTGCTGACCCAAGGGTGCAATTTGCGTTGTTTCTGTAGCTCTCTGGATAGCAATCTCTTTGGGGACCTCTTGTGGACTCTCTTCTAAATTGCGTGCTCCGGAAAATGTTTCCACGACAATTTGTAGACACGTCAGAGCCCTTTCCTTCAATATAACACTCATGTGCATTCGCAGAAGTTTGACAGCAAAGATCAACAGCAAACACAAGAAAGTAAGTGCATTTTAAAAGGGGGAATTTTACCCCCGAGTGGTGCTTATTTATTCTTTAGCTTCTTTACAGAGACTGCAATAAATACACACCCTGCAAAGGAGTTCCTTCTAAGGTGGGGCAGGGAAAGGAGCTTGCTTAGGCTAATGTGGCTAATACAGACCTCTGAGCACAAAGAATGAGAAATAGTCCCTTTTCCTCCTCTGCCATTGTTTCTATCCTTTCTTATCACCCCTGTGAGGATCCTAACCCCATCTCCTCAATCCCTTCCCTCCTCCACAGCCTCATCCCTCCTCACACTGACACCCAGAGTGAGCAGCCTGAGCCCACTAAGCGCTGTTTCACAGAAAGAATCGGTTGCCCTGCTCCAATCCTCCTCCATTAGGGGAGCAGCCCCGGGGCAGGCTCCTCTGAGACGTGGGACTTGTCGCTCTACCCATGAGTTAACGCGTCCGTGGGTCAGACAGGGGCCCACGCCAGCAGGCCGCGGCTAGGGATGCGGTATCAAAGCTTCTCATGTATACTCTTTGCTACCTGGTTCCCCTTTCTTCCCTCAGTAACAATGCTCTTAATTGTTGCTTTTCACTGATTGCTTACAAATCCAGATGGGAATTTAGTCCAGGCTTCTTTCCTGAAGTCTTGGGTCTGTAGAGTCTGAGGTATCTTCCTACTCTTAAAGTACAGCAGGACAGAGATTCAGTGTCAGAATGGGAGTCTCCCAGCTCGGATTTCCCCGTTGCCTCCCTCCCTGTAGGATCCTGTCGTTTGCCATCCAGCAGGATGGCAGGAGCAGGAGGAGCAGAAGGAGGAGCAGGAGGACATCATGGCGGACAGGCGCGCCTCCCACGTGACCGCCCCGGAGGCCTCTCTAGTCCTCCCGGGCGTCTCGATGGTTCCCGCGCGGTGCCTTGTGGGCGCTCGGCGGACTCATGGCGGTGGCGTGAGGCGGGGGTGCGCGGGGCGGGAGGAGGCCCCGGCGGGGTGAGTACCGGGGTGGGGGTACCGGGGGTACCGGGGTGGGGTCCCT